GTGCTACGCAATGAAACTGTTTTAAGGGCGTAAAAGAGGAAATAAGAAGCTCGTATTATGTTTGCATTAACTTCGTTCCGATCTTTTCTGTTACTTTGTGTCAGACTCTTGCTTTCCGTGTTTTACTAACGACGTTGGACCACCCTATCCAGGGCACAGACCTGGACAGTGGGGTTATGAGTGCTCGGTAGTAGCCAGTGCAGAACGTCTCCTCTATCCACGCCACTGGTGTTATCTAAGGGAAAGGCAATGACCAATTCAGCTTGGCACCGGCTTCGTGGCAAGGGTTGCCAGAACGAAGTTGAACATCACATCGGACTGTCTTAGGGACACAAGTTTCGTATTTACCCTCTGGGTTTACTCCCGAAATATTTAACATGATTGGGTACGGCCGCAAGGCAACGGAAGTTTAAAATCAGAATTTTCTTTCTCTTTGATGACCAGTCCTCCCGGGCTGACGTGTTCCATCTACCCGTAGCCGAGTAGTTAGAACGTTCGCATTCTGACCATGAGACCCGGGTTCAAATCTCACCATAGTCGGTTTGTCAGGAAGGAGACTTCCTGATGTTATCCGACCGGAGAAGTCGATCCCATAGTGCGGCACCTTTTGAAAGTGCCTGAAAACCATACAACGGGTTGACCAAAGCCTTGTGAGTGAAATTGGATAGACGGAATCCTTGGGTGCCGTCGATAGCTGTGTCGATGTCACAAGTCATCGTGATCGAGGGCTTGAGCATGCTGGCTTTATTCAGATTGTTGATCACGCTAGATAACACGCTCTTTCCTCAGAAACTGTAACTAAGGTTTGCTCAGCATAGTTGCAGTATAAACCAAGGTGGGCTCTATGGGTGTAAACACAAATGCATATGAGCAAGCGTCTGCAACAGGGATTAGTAGCCGTCTTAGAAGACAGGTTTCCTCGAATACGAGTGACCAGCTATACATACATATATATGTATATATGTACGCAAAGAGAAACATAAACACAGACATATATATATATATATATATATATATATTACATTTGATTTCGGAGTAAACAATTCGTCATCAGATATGCCACTTTAAGACATTATTATTATCATTATTACTTTAAATGGTAATAACAGAGACCAAGGGCGCCTCGAGTCGGTGTAATGGTTAACAAGCTTGTCTCGATAGAACAATTACGACTGAGTAATGAGTTCGATACTCACTGGGTGCTACTTTTTTCGGCCTTGTACTAAGACTGATATTGCCCTTCAATATGTCCTGTGAGTGTCATAGGTTCTAAGCCCTTCAATATGTCCTGTGAATGTCATAGGTTCTAAGCCCTTCAATATGTCCTGTGAGTGTCATAGGTTCTAAGCCCTTCAATATGTCCTGTGAATGTCATAGGTTCTAAGCCCTTCAATATGTCCTGTGAATGTCATAAATTCTAAGCCCTTCAATATGTCCTGTGAGTCTACGCTTGGAAAATCACAATATAATAGAAACCAGTCAATAAATAATAAAAGGATAAAAATATAAAATTATCATCAAATGTATAAAGCAGACTGAAGTTTCTCGCATTCGGCAACCCGTCTAGGAGAATGAAAACAGTAAATTTAAAACCAATCAAGAAGCAAGGAAACCAATTTCTATAGAAAAATAATGGTAAAGTACGGTATAAATCGTAAAATAAGGAGTCTGTGGAGAGCCGTGATCATGACAGTTGAGGGGAAATCAAAAGTCAACTTTTTATTCAGAGGTCGGATTTTAATCGTCGAGACAGAATTTAAGACCTCATCGTATTCCCACATTTCACCTGCTTATCGGAGGTCGACACAGCGTTTCTTGATTCCTCACGCGTCAGGACCCATACAAGAATGATTCATTAATTATTCTTCTATGAGCCGTGTTCCTTCAGGACGTGGGTGATCATGGTTCTCCACATGGTTCCTGTCCCTTATAGCTCTTAACAAAGTTTGTCTTTTTGCTATCTTCCCTAATTTTCGTTCTGCCAACCATTTACACAAGTTCTTTAGGTCAGTTATTCGCTGATTTCTTTTGCCTCTCTTGCATTCAACATGCCCTGTGAGTGTTAAATTTTCCGAGCCAAATTTCCTCGTTATGTTTCCTAGAAACCTCACTTGCCTCTTTCTGATGCTAAAGTATAAAACTTCGCTCACATGTTCAATGTGTAATATTAATCTTCCTACACGGCAGTGAATCCGCGGTAATCTCTTTTACAGATGAAAAAGAGACGAGATAACAGAAATGTGATTTCTAAGGTTGTTGTAAGGATACAGAAAGCGCTTATCTCCCTTTGGTGGACATAAGTAAAATGGCTCACATGGCAGCTGCTTAATGACGTTAATACAGTGATGAATAGCGACAGTCAAATTTCAGTTCGTGTACAGCAAACGGTAACGTTGTCTTCTTTAAGTTTTTCTTTAATTGTGCTTAGCTTTTTGAAGGCATCTTTTGCTATCCAATATCCCGGGCAGGGGCTAAATCTACTTCCACAGCTTCTTACAAATCCATGGTGCCGTTTCCCTTTGGGAATCTATCTTTCTAAGATATAGAACGAAACTCCAGTTTACAGTCTTCAATGAGGGAAAACCCAAGACTCGCTGTTTCCCGTTCATGAAATATGTCCTCGTCTGGGGCATAGATCAATCCGACCCATTTGAATCTGGAGCCCTAAAATGGCTTCTCCAGGTACAGGAGTATCTTTTTTTTGTTTTTCCTTACACTCTGCTTTGCTGTGTAGTTATATGTGATATATTATTTTTCACGTGGGTCACGTGTATATGTGTATATATAGTTTTGTGAATGTCATAGTATTATAAAATAATAATATTATAAAAGTCTTTCTGAGAACAAAGCATGTTTATTATTCTTTTTCCGTTCAGTCATTCTGTTCCATTCGTGAAATATCGGTGTTATTATATCATGGATATAATAATACCCATAATGGGGGAAATCCAAAGAGGAGAATAAATTTTTCTTTCCTAGCTCTAGCTTGTTACACTGTGCTTAGCTTTTGAAAGGCATCTTTGCTATCCCAAAGCACCTTCGAATTTCAGTGTTGCAATTTCCGTTGTCTGTTATAACACTTCTTGGATGTTTAAATGTCTGTATTTGCTTAATTTTGTTATCTCCAATTTGTAGTTCCCATGTTGGACTTTTCCTTTGAACAATGAATAATCTAAATAAGTTACTCCCACCTATTACGGTAATAGACTCGCCTTCAATAAGTAATTACGTTCAACTTAATTGCAATTAACAGTAGATAAAGTAGAAACTAGTTCAGTTTTGGGGGTCTGCTTTTTCAATGAAACGTCGGCTGTACTTGCGAAAATATTGTGACGATATTGCATCATTAGTTTAGTAAATTACACATTTCATTTAGTCACATGTCTTACTGAAGTCGTTGTCTACCTCCAGGACTGTGGGCTCGGTAAACTGTTGTCAAGCCAAACCTACTAAAATGGCACTGTGTCCCATAGGTCGTCTTTTTCACCGTCAAGTACGATGATTATAACAGATATAGTAGCGAATTCAATCCTGATCTGCATCTCTATTTTCTAAGCCCTTCAATATGTCCTGTGCGTGTCATAGTTTCTAAGCCCTTCCATATGCCCTATAAGTATCATAGTTTCTAAGCCCTTCAATATGTCCTGTGAGTGTCATATTTTCTAAGCCCTTCAATATGTCTTGTGAGCATCATAGTTTCTAAGCCCTTCCATATGCTATGTGAGTGTCATATTTTCTAAGCCCTTCAATATGTCCTGTGTGTGTCATAATTTCTAAACCTTCTATGTGCCATAATATTTCAACAGTCTCTTTTTCATGTTAAGTATAAGTGTCCTTTCTTGTTTCCATTTTCTCCAAAAGATCGGCGTTGCTCACATGTTCAGTCCATTTTATTCATTTTGCAGAACCAGATTTCTATTGTTTCAAGTCTCTTCTTACAGTTCAGTGCTCTTTCATTGTTTCTCATGAAATTTTCCTTCTTCGTAATACTTTGCTTAGCTTTTGGAAGGCATGTTTCACTTCGGATTTCAGTGTCGCAGTTTCCGTTGTCTGTTGCTTAATTTTGTTGTCTCCAATTTGTAATTCCCATGATGGACTTTTCCATTGAACGATGAATAATTTAAATAAGTTACTATATATATATTATTGTAATAGACCCGTCTTCAATAAGTACTTACGTTCAACTTAATTGTGATTAACGGTTGATAAAGTAGAAACAATAGTTCAATTATGGGCGTCTGCTTTTCAACGAAAACCTCAGGTACTACTTTAAAAATATTGTGACGATATTGCATCACTAGTTTAGGAAAATTACACTTATTTCATTTAGTCCACTGTCTTACTGAAGTCGTTGTCTACCCCCAGGACCGTGGGCCCGGCAAACGCTTGTCAAACCAAACCTACTGAAATGGTGCCATATGTCGTCTTTTACGCCGTCAAATGCGATAATTATAAACAAATATATTATACACTTTAGCGAATTCAATCCTGCTTCGCATCTCTATTTTCCTGTCCTTATGCCTGTTTAATGTGGTTTTAGAAAAAGTCCTTAAGAGCGCCTACCGTAGTGAAATCGTTAGGAAGGTCATCTTACCCACCAGTTCAAGTGCGCACGGATTTTGTGTCGATCTTGTACTGTAGTCTTGGTTCAGACTGAGATAATTTGGGCAAATATCTCTTCCAAATGAGCCACCCACCCCCAGTTGGATTTTAACGCCACCTATTTGACAAGGCCCCGCCCATTTATAGAGAAATAAGTAAGTTGTTTGCCTCAGTACCGTGGGCGCGTTAAACAGTTGACAGACCCCCGCCCCCCTCAACGCCCCCATACTGTAAATCTACAGTTGATCGTAAGAACAACACCAAAACCGTATACCTGGTAACCGGAAATCAAACAAAATAAAATAGAAATTCTCATTAAGAATTAGCTTTTCTTTTATTCTTTTTTAATTTTTTATTACTTTCCTCTGTGAATTTACAGAATCTTATACAAGAATATCATGAAGACATGTTATCGTTGTTGCAGTGGTTGGACAGGTATTCCTGGAAGTTGTCAAGGTAATATTTTGAAGCAAATTATTTTGCATGCTTGTGAAATCTTTTAAAATCTGCATTCTTCAATCTATATTATATAAAAAAAAACAAAAACATGAACCGATTCTCCGTCCGTCACGTATTGTCTGTTTGTGGCTCGTAGACGCGAGTTCGAATTCCAGTCGAATCCATTACATTCACTTACGTACTAATACCCTTGTGAAAGGTATGAATCCTCTTCTCCCCCCTCCCTCCATCTATGAGTAAATAGCAGGACAGACCGGGTTCTGTAGCCTTGGATGGCAACTGGTCTACCGCAGAAAGAAATGGCAGCCTACTCAGCCTCGTCAGTCATGTATCGAAAGATGCATGATCGCCTAAGCGTATATCACGCATGACACATAACTGACTGACTGACTGTGGTGGGCGTGACTAACTTGCAGGTGCTTCTGCTATTTTATGTACACGAGCACATGAGTGTGCGAATGCACAAACACACACACACACACACACACACACACAGATACACATTCAATATGACTGAGTTTAAAATAAAACACTGGATAATGCACCCCCACCCCCGAATGGGCTGAGCCATAAAATTATAGAATTGGAGACAGAAATAAAAGCGAAAAAAAAAAAAAAAAAACTTAATCACCGTCAACTCTTTCTTTGTTTGCATGTGTGTATGGCTATGAAATAAAATTAAAAATACATAAAAAATAACGAGATTTTCTTACTTTCAAAGAACTATCTCATTCTGTTCATATCTATCTACCTACAGTGTGTTTTGGGGGGGGACAAATATTTGTACACATACCAATTTATTGTTCTTCCAACTACTGAATAAACATGCTTTTCATATAATTAACTATACACAGATGCATAATAACAAAATATGCCTAATAACAAAATATGCATAGAAAACAGAAAATAATATTCGTATAATACAAAAAAGAATATATAATCTTCATTTAAAACTTTGTAGAAAACCCATTATTCACTTCTAAAGCAACAAATCTCTTCTTGTAGTTCTCAATTAATGATTTGCAAATTTTACTTGGCATTTTGTTCCATTCTCCTTCGCATATGGTCTTCAGATCCAGGATATTTGTTGAAGCTCTCGATTGGATTTGAATTTTCAAATAACGCCACAGATTTTCGATTGGGTTTAAATCTGGGAACTGATTCGGTTATTTCAGGATATTTACATTATTTTCAGCAAGCCATTTCTTCGTAGATTTTGCAGTGTGCTTAGGATCATTATATTTTTGAAAGATCCAATCAGGAGGAGGTTCAAGATTTTCAACCGAGTTCATTACATTTTCTTTCAAAATATTTTGATATACTGAAGCATTCATTCTACCATCTATTACTGATATGTTGACAGTAGCTTTTGCAGAAAAAAATATCCCCAAACCATGATGCTGCCACCACCAAATTTCACTGTTGGAACCGTGTTCTTTTGTTTGAAGGCATCGCCATCTTTCCTCCATACATGAATTGTAGAATTACATCCAAACAACTCAATTTTGGTTTCGTCTGTCCATAATACTTTTTGACAATACGATTTTACTTATCCTTATAGTCACGAATGAATTTTAACCTGTCATCTATGTGTCTTTTCAATAGCAATGGAGTTTTCTGAGGGGAGCGTGATTTTAGATTGTTCTTATGAATTTCATTGTTTATTGTCAGTTTAGTGACACGGATTCCTGATGAAAGAAAATTATCCTGCAACTCTTGACGAGTAACCATTGGATTTTATTTAATTTGACGCATTAATTTCCTCGAATATCTTGAAGAAATCTTCCGTGGAGCATCTGTTCTTTGGCTTTCAACAGTTTTGAGTTTTATACATTGCAGTGAATTAAATAATGGTAGTAAATGAAATATTCATGTTGTGTGAGATTTTCCTGTAACTTTTACCTTCTTTCCAGAGCTTAACAATCAGTTCTTTTTGCGAATTTGTCACTTCTTTACCTCTTGCCATGATGAAAACCTTCTTGCACGAATATCAATTTCAGAATGTTCAGGTTGTATTTTTAGGCTAAAAATAACTAGTGATAACATTATTGCAACGTTCTAGAATATTCCACTTGAATAATCTTATTAAAATAATTTAGAAGTTTTAAAATCTTAAATTTGCATTGTACGAATACTTTTGTCTCACATTATGATGGATAAATGGGGTTTATTTTTATCAAATCAAATTTTTTTCTATTTTCTATGCATATGTTGTTATTATGCATCTGTGTACAGTTAATTATATGAAAAGTATGTTTATTATGTAGTTGGAAATAGAATAAATTAGAAATTTGTATGTGTACGAATATTTATTTTCCCTCTATCTATTCTCATTCTGTTCATATCTATCAAATTTTGTACATATAGGTCTATCTATCTATGTATCTCATTCTCTTCGTATCTATCATTCTGTTCACGTCAATCTCATTCTGTTCATATCTATCTATCTCATTCTATCTATCATTCTGTTCACATCTATCTATTTTTTTAATCGGACTCACCCCATGCAAGGCAGTAATGCCGCTAAAACACAAGGCGTTATAGGGTGTAGAAGAATTAGGAACAGAAATATTAATGCTGAGCAGAAAGAGAAGAGAGCAATCAGGTGGACAGTAGATAGCGATTGACATTGAATTTAATATTTACATATTAAAGTTGGCTGAAAATCAAGCTGGAGTGGAGTTCCACAAGTGAGAAGTGCGGAAGAAGAAACTGTTAGCATAGAATTTATGGCCACATCTAGTCAGCTCAACTGTAAATTGCTGAGGCTTCGACGCTAGTCTAGTGCTGTGCTAAGTATTTAAAGAAAAGACACAGGGAGACAACCTTACGACGGTGGGAAAGTGACTGGAGCTACGCTGCCAGATCAGGACCAATAATATTGCAGATTCTGTTTTGGATTTTATCAAGGAGTTTAAGGTAAATAGCAGGGACACCGGACCGTATGTGACAGCAATATTCTAAACGTGGACGAATGGTAGACTTATAGATATGTAAGATAAATTCTGGAGACAAAAAGTGTTTCGCCTGACATAGTGAAACGACTTTCTTAGTAGCTGACCTAGCAATGGATTCAGTATTGTCTTTCCACTGCCCACTTCATATTGGCCGAGAACGTGAGTCCAAAAAGGCGCAACGGGTCATTTTCCTGGAGGATAGCAACAGCAAAGGGTCTCTAAAATGATTAATGAGGAGAAGTTTAGTTATGGAGGCGTTAAAATTAACAAGCCATCTTTTGTCCCAGTTAGCTACGGACTTGAGGTCGTTTTGAACATCAGCTGCCATTTTGACCTTGTCAGACTGATAAGCATTACTATGGAGGCAAGAGTAAATTGTTGTGTCGTCGTAGATACCAAGTTAATAACTGATGTCACCAGGAAAGTCATTAATCAAAATTAAAAATAGAGTTGGACTGATCTGCTCATATCTATCTACTTCCATTTGTTGATATCTAAAAAAAAAAAAAAAAAAAACTTAAAAAAGAGTCAACTGTAAGTTTTTGGTAAATCATTTTTAAAAGGCTTTCTACAATGAAACGCTTATCTATCTCATTCTGTTCATATGTTACAGATGTTTTTTTCACATCTATCTAATTCTGTTCATAACTATCATTCTGTCCATGCCTACCTATCTATCTATCTGATTCTTTTCATATCTATCTATCTATCTGATTCTTTTCATATCTATCTATCTATCTGATTCTTTTCATATCTATCTATCTATCTGATTCTTTTCATATCTATCTATCTATCTCAGTCTGTTCATATCTATTTATCTATCTATCTATCTATCTCAGTCTGTTCATATCTATTTATCTATCTATCTATCTATCTCAGTCTGTTCATATCTATTTATCTATCTATCTATCTATCTCAGTCTGTCCATATCTATATTCTATCTATCTCATCATATCTATCCGTACATCTATCTATTCATATCAGTTCATTCTGTCCATATCTATCTATTCATTCATAATCTCAGTCTGTCCATATCTATCTATCTATCTATCTATCTCAGTCTGTCCATATCTATTCATCTACTATCTATCTATCTATCTATCTATCTCAGTCTGTCCATAATCTATCTATCTATATCTATCTATTTAATCCATATATCTATGGACAGTCTGAGATAATAACATCTACATTTATCTATCTCTTTCTGACCTTATCTATCTATCTATCTCAGTCTGTCCATATCTATCTATCTATCTATCTATCTCAGTCTGTCCCATATCTATCCATCTCATCAGTCTGATAAAATTATAGTTATCCATCTATCTCATTTGTCTGCAAATCTTTATATCATCTATCTATCATTCATCTATACATTCTGCTAATAATCTAATCTATCTATCTATCTATCTAATTCTGCTCATATCTATCTATCTAATTCTGCTCATATCTATCTATCTAATTCTGCTCATATCTATCTATCTATCTATATATATATCAGTTTGTTTATATCTATTACAGTCTGTTCTTATCTATCTCTTTCTGTTCATATTTATTCATCTAATTTCCGGAATATTTGAGAAAAGAGATGGTTCAAATAACGATGTCCTGGGTGAATTTTCCTCGCTAAAATATAAATAAAAAATAAAGTTGTCTTCCCGTCTATTTGAAAGTCAATAATATCTATTTCAGTTTGTTCCTGCCCCGTTATCTCCGCTAGTCTCTCCCTTCTTCCCATCCTTCCTATTTGTATAAGTTTATTCATATTTATCTATCTATCTCTCTTAGATATTAACGAATGCATTTTCAACAATGGCGGATGCAATCAAAATTGCTTTAACACCGAAGGAAGTTTTCACTGTTTTTGCTACCCTGGTTACCATTTGGTAAACGGTAGTACGTGTGTTGGTAAGTAATTTATTTATTTGATTTTTTTAAATATTTTTTTTTTATCTCTGTTAACAGCATTGTTGTTTTCCGTTCTTGTAATTTCATCTGAAAAGTTTACTCATTTTAATGTACAGCTTTCATTTGTGTCAAAGCTGAACGATGGTGTCTTAACTATTGTTTGATTTTATGCAGTCGTTAGTGCTGAACTAACGTCGATTCTCCTATATAGCTGGTCAACGAAGAATGCTGAGAATTCCATGTACTAACATATGAACAATGAGGAAGTTTTAAAGAAAATGGAAACGAAGACACCGGCAATATTTAACCTTCGTGCATGCAAAAAAAAAAAAAAAAAAAAGAAAAAGAAATGAACAACGTATCAAAAGTACGGTTATTCCCTTGACACCACTATTACTGTTGTTGCGGAGATTAAAAATATTATCATTTTATGCAAAAAAATATTTGGCGTACTCATGTCAGTCCAGGTAAAAAAGGGTCAAAACATAACATTCAAACAAGCAACAATTAATAAATGTCTGTTCTACAAATACTTTCATGGAAATTGCTCCGAGGAGTTGCATTCGCTGGTTCCCAGACGTCATGAGTTCAAGCGCCCTACGAGGCTGGCATCCCGCTCTCAACACTTCACTGTCGAAACTCCTAAATGTAGCCGTCTCTTCTACTCTAATAGCTTCATGTCTCGCACCTCTCGCCTGTGGAACTCCCTTCCCTTCTCCTGTTTCCCTGTGAGCTATAATCTCCAGCTATTCAAGTGTAATATCAATCGACATCTCCAGTTGCCTTGATCTATCCACTACCTCATCCTTTCTTCTATCACTCCTATCTGATCTTGCTCTAAATTTTCTGTAACCCCTTGCGTCCTAGTGGCTTCCCGCCTTGCTTGGGGTGAAATGCTTAAAAAAATGTATTAAGACATGTTACAGAACGAATAAAGAAAGAAACAAAGTTGAAGTTATGAACAGTTCAATACAATCTGCAGTCTGTATCTCTGATGTATTTACACGCCTTGTGTCTATCGGAGCGAAAAGAGACGCGTATTGTTGCTTCAAATGTCAAAGAGAAAAGAGGAAGAGCCTTTCAAATACCGTGCTACCTGTGATTATCATCAGGGTGCGGTAATCCAACACAGTATAGACTCTTAACGCCGTCGGTAATGTTTATTTGATAGTTATAAAAAATATGTACAATGCGATATTATTATTTACCATTTTATAAAGAAATAAATTTAAAAAGAAATCTTATTCTTTAATTCTTGATTAAAAACATTACAAAATTATCAAATTACATAAGAGAAAGAAATGCTTTCAACATATTTCAGGGAATTTATATGGTGAGAGCAAATGTTAAAAAATGATTTGAAAATGCAATTTAAAAAATTATGATTACAGCTACTCGTCGTTATATGTTTATTTGAATTTTCTTTCCTTTCTCGTTATAAGATTTGGTTCTCGCTATAATATTCTAAAGGGATCAAAAAGGAATTGCCATTATTCTTTAATTGCTAGAAATATTTGGAGAGGGATGCGCTGTTTTTGTATTTTATATTACCTAAAGTCATTCGATGGTGGTAGAAACAAAATTTCCAAGGACTTTCAGTGGAACCAAGATAAAATTTAATATCGCTACTGGAATGTACCCTTGCTCGGTAAACAATATTATTAGTCATATATTGACCGTTTAAGGGACAGATCCTATTTTCTTGTTCAGACATGTTTATAAATTTATGAATAAAGAAATACTTTTATAATTTTTCTTTGGTGAAATGGGATCAAATACAGATCAAATATGGATCTAAAACAAACGGTGTGTACGTAAGAACATTACCAAATCAACAAACATAATACCTACCAGACAAACCCATACACTTACAAATATACGTTATCATTTGAATCCCACCTAAACAAACTAGAATTATGATACATACATAAAGCAATATTTACGTTTTTCCGTTGGGTTTGGAACTCGTGAATTTCTTGGAGCTTCGAATTTTCGTATAGCTCCTGGTAAGTTTTATGTAGAACCAAATTTCTGTTGCCTCAAATCCCTTCTTCGTCTGTGAGATTTTCCAACATTCACTGCCATATAGGAGGAGTGATATTACATAACAGTCCAGTACTCTTTTCTTTGTTTCTAACGACATTTTTTGTTCCTTAATACTTTAACTTTTAGAAGGCACCTTTCGTCATTCCAATGATACTTCGGATTTCGATGTCACATTTTCCGTCTTCTGCTAAAAAAACTTCCTAAATATTTAGTTTTTTTTTTTTTATACTTGTTTGATTCTGATGTCTTCAATACGTAGTTCGTTTCTTAAGTTGTTCCTTTTGCTGACACCCATACATTGTCATATTATAATTGATATTTAGTCTTTTCTTCACACTTTCTTGCTACCTTCTTTAGGAGTATTTTTTTAATTGTCCCCCCCAAGCAAGGCGATAAAGCCACTAAAACGCAAGGTGTTACTGAGCGTTAGAGAGTATGAGAAAAAAAGAAAAATACTATTAAGAAGAGAGAATAGTAAAAGAACTATTAAGACAAGATATCAATTGGCATTACAATTAAATTTTTGAAGATCAAAATTAACTGGGAAGCTAGAAGCCAGCAGAGAGCCCCAGAAGTGAGGAGTGTGATAGAAGAAACTGTTAGCATAGAACTTACGGTTACATCTAGCCGTTTCAATTGTAAAATGATGAGACATTGCTGTTCCTGCAGTTTCCATTCTGTGTCTGCTATCAACATTGTCATCTGCATATTTCATGCTGTTAAGATTGTGGCTACCAATAATGAATTCTAGTTGGATTAATTCTCTCAGGATCATCTCACTTTAACGGTTGATTAAGGCTAGTCATAAGAACTCTGCTTGTCTTGCGCCCCTTTTAATTTTGTGTAGTTACTGAATACCCGCTGCTTGTCTAAGTTCTGGATTTCTCTCGGATGATCTTATTTGTTGATGTTATTGAACCTTTTAAATTTTCCCTTACCCATATTAGAAAACTTACTTTTCATTGTTATTAACGAAATTTTCCTGTTTCTTAATACTTTGTTTCGCTATCTGTTGTAGAGTAGTTTCACAGTGGAGGCTTGTATTTCACTAAGTCGGTCCTAAAATAGGTTCGACGTACAAAACGTTAGGAACTTGATATAATAGGTAATGACGCAGAGAAATCTAGTGGTGGTCGCTGATACTTTTAGTATCCGACTAACGGTCGTCCGACATCGACTGACTGACCAACTCACTGAGCCCTTAGCGACTGCTACTACTCCTTATTATATGTGGGAGAGTCTATTAACTATAGAATAGGTGTGTTCCACTATAACACTGTCCCAATACACTTCGGATTACAGTGTCGGATTTTCCGTCCTCTGTTAAAACATTTTCTTTAGATATTTAAATTTTTGTACATTTTGGTGTCTCCAATTCGAAATTCGCTGTCTGAGTTGTTCCTTTTACTGACAACCATATATTCTACCTTCTTACAACTAATAATCGCTTCTCGCTTCCCTTTATTACCGTCTGTTAGTCATTGAAATAAAAAAAGTCTTAAAATAGTAGCGACCTTAGCATGCAGATTACAGTTTGGGAGTAAACATTTCAAAAGTATTTTTTTTATATTTCAGCTGCGATGAGTTGTCAACTGGAAAATGGTGGTTGTGATCATTATTGCCATGACACAACCGGTGGTCGTCAGTGTTCTTGTCGAAATGGATACCAATTAATCGGCAAGACACGATGTGTTTGTAAGTAAATAACAGGCTTAATTGTTATAATATTAATTATATTGTGTAGGATACGATATATATATATATATATATATATATATATATATATATATATATTGCGTCTAGCATGAAACAGCCTGTCGCCACTGAGTGTTGATTTCAATGTTCACTTATATATATTTATTTATATATATGTGTTTTCGTAGCCTTATTTGAGCCTAGCACCAATATACTACAGAACAAGAACAATCTACGCCCGTAGATTTAGTAAAGGGTTTAGTTCAAAATTACCTGAGTCGACAAACACTTGGTCAGAGAGAGCAACGGCCGAAATGTTATGATAATAGTGTTATGGGAACTTACCCATAATAATAATGGACTATTCCTGACATTATAAATACTGCGCCTCTCAAGAGGTATGAGGAGATTGTAAGACGAGGAGAGATAATTGAGAGCATATTGTAAGGACATTGGAATGATATTTGTCGAGACAATATAGTTCACTCTAACCAAATCTGATAGTCATTACTAATACTTCTACTTCTTTGTATTATATTTCTGTTGTAATATATCTTTGTATTCCATACCTGTGTTCGTGTTATTCTTTCATTGGTTCTAACCTTGGACCATCACCGTGGTAAAAGGAACTTGGACCATAACAAATAGCAACAAAGATAAAGAAATTAATGTTCGAATGTAAATCATACAAACAATGATAACTTCTTAGAAATTCGAACAGAAAGTATGGTTTCTCTTGTCCAAACAGCCTTTGGAATGATAATAAATTTTCACTAAATTGTAGCGATGAAAATAGAACAGACATAGGAGAACATAACGGTCGAAACGTTGTGATGATAACAACAAAGATAAGGATGTTAGTCCGAATGAACTGATAATTTGTTATCACCGTTTCAGCCACTCTGTTCCAAATGGACCATACGTATTTTTGAAGTTCCAAGAATTCTTCAGACGACTTATGTTGATTCTGTTCTTAGCAAAACGCTTCATCCGATGCATTCTATAAAACATGGCTTACATGAGATCAAGTACAATAGACTACAAGTTTGACTTGAGATGTGTTCCTAGCTAGGGGTGGATATCCGTGATTCACCCGATGTCAATTGCGGCTCTAACGTGTCGGCCCAGCTGCGCTTGGGTTCAAAGCGGAAGAAAAAAAATTATATAACAGGTAGATATATAAACAGCCACCCCAGAGAGATGGACAGTTTTTCTCTCTCAGATATTGCAATCGAGAATGTAAGATCCCCGATGAGGATCCAGGACA